TTGTAAGAATGTCGGCTAGTTGGTCTTTAGACTTCACAAAAGGAAATATAATGATCCCAACTTCCAGTTTTTGCTTAATGAAGTGTCTATCAATTTTTACATGCTTCGTCTGATCATGTTGAACTGGACTGTGGGCAATCTCTATAGTTGAAGTGTTATCACAACAACTTAATTACATCTTGAGAGTCAACCCCTAAATCTCTTAGCAAGTTCCTCAATCATAGTAGCTCACACACTCCAAAAGTCATGCCCCTATACGATCAGCTTTTGCACTTGACCTTGCTACTATCGGTTGCTTCTTACTCCTCTAAGTCACAAGGTTTCCCCCTACAAAAGTAAAACATCTTGAAGTAAATCTTCTATTACTAGTTAAACCAGCCTACTCTGTATTAGTGTAGCCTTCTACCTTCAGATGATTATGCTTAGTGAAAAGTAACCTTTACCTAGAGCAAACTTCAATTACCTTAATATACATTCCATGACATCCATGTGAGGTTTACGAGGATCATGCATAAATTGGCTCACTACACATACTGAATAAATAAAATCTGGCCTAGTGTGGGACAAATAAATCAATTTTCCCACAAGTCTATGGTATCTTGCCTTATCAATAGAAGTTGTATCCAAACAATGAAACAACTTATGATTTTGTTCAATAGGAGTATTCAAAGGCTAACGTCCAAGCATACCTATTTCAGTTAACAAATCAAGAAAGTATTTCTATTGAGATAAGAAAATACCATTTTTTGATTTGACTACCTCAATCCCAAGAAAGTACTTCAAGTCACCAAGCAATTCATTTCAAATTCTGAGGCCAAGTGTTGTTGTAAATTTTCAATTTCATCTTGATCATCACTTGTCCCATCATATCATCAAAATAGATAATCAAAGCAGTAATTCTACACTTTCGATGCTTTAAAAACAAAGTGCAATCTGAGTTGTTTTGTTTATAGCCGAAGTTCTTCATAGACTTGGTGAATCTCCCAAACCAAGCTCTTGGAGATTGTTTTAAACCATACAATGCCTTCTTGAGTTTGCACACCTTTGTTACATTTGAGTACTTTTCTATACTCAAAGGAAGATCCATATACACTTCTTCTGTAACATCTCCATGTAAGAAAGCATTTTTTACATCAAATTGAAGAAGTGGCCAATCCCAATTAACTACAAATGACAAAAGCACTCTAACTGTGTTACGCTTAGCAACTGGTGCAAAAGTGTCTTGATGGTCAATCCCATAAGACTACGTATACCCTTTTGTAACCAACCGAGCTTTGTACCTTTCAATTGTCCCATCCACCTTATGCTTGATTGCAAATACCCATCTACATCCCATGGTCTTCTTCCTTTCGGTAAAGGCACAAGTTTCCAAGTAGCATTCTTTCCAAGTGTTGCCATTTTTTCAGGCATGGCTTGTGTCCATCTAGCATCTGCTAAAGCTTCCTGCACTTTATAGGAACAGAGATAGATGATAACTATAGCACATAAGACGCATATGACTTGGACAATTTTTTCGAAGATTCATGATCACTAATGGGATATCTAACTTTGGATTTAGGATCAGGCTCATAATTAATAGGTGGTATGCCACAATTAGAACGAGCTGGAAGACTATATTGAGACAATTTAGATTCAAAATTAAAATTATCAACAATCATAAAATTAGGATTAGTGGGTACCTTTGAATGAGTCTAAAGAGAAGATTGACCCAGTGGTTGTGTTGGATTATTAGGAGACATTGTACTATCATGGAGAGAATCATCTTTAGAGCTTACAACCATTTGTTCAACAATTGGGAACCTTTCCCCTTCATTAGGTTGACCGGTGGTATTGCTTCCAGTTGTTCGGAACAAATCTGAGACGGAGTCTTCATTCGTAAATTCCTTGGTCACTTGGTTTTCTACTTTCTGTTCTTTTGCTTTTTTGGGAAAGATCCGATACAAAGAATTATTTTCCGTATCATCTCCGGATGTTCTATTTCCTTCATCTAAATCTTTGGGAAAAAAAACCATGTTGTTCTTCATGATTAATCACTTTGTCTTGATTCTCCCCCTGAAGTGGCGTAAATCAGTCGTTGGTGTCTTGTAGTTCTTTCTTATGAAAAATAACATCCATGGAAACATAAAATCTCTGAGAAGATGGATCATAACACTTGTAGCCATTTTGACTGATCCCATATCCCAAAAAACACACTTTACTGCACAAGACTCAAGCTTAGTCCATTGACGTTGATGCAAGTGGACATAGATCACATATCCAAAACTCCGAGTAGCCAAAATTACCACTAGTGGAAGAGTGTAGTGATTAGAGAGAGTATCCAATGGTCATCTAAAATTGAGAACTCTAGATGGCATATGGTTTATTAAGTAGATAGCTGAATTCAAGGTGTCACCCCACAAGTGAGAGAGGCATGACCTCCAATCAAGACAGATCGAGTAACTTCCAATAACTGTCTATTTTTTTGTTCTATAACACCATTTTATTGAGGAGAATAGAGACGTGTTGTTTGGTGAATAATCCATACTGAATGCATGAATTATGTCAATTCTTGCGTCAAGTATTCTCCCCTATTATCAGAACGAATGACTTTTATTAGAATACCAAACTGAGTAGTTACCATTTGATGAAACAAGCAAAAACTGAGCAGACATCACTCTTATGCTTCAATTGATAAACCCAAGTCATTCGAATGCAATCATCAACAAAAGTTACAAACCACCTCATCCTATTAAGAGTAGAAATTGGTGTCGATCCCCAAACATCTGAATGAATTAATGAAAAAGGTAGATTTGTTCTACTATCACTTAAATGGAAAATAGTATGATGACTTTTTGCCATTACACAAGTTTCATAACTAAAATCCAAAAAATGACATCCACTAAACAAAAAGGGAAATAATCTCATAAGATAGTTAAAAAAGGGATGTCCTAGTCTCTTATGTGACAACCAAATTTCCTCATTTTTCTTATTCATCAAATCTTCCTTTAGCAAGTGAGCTTACCTTCTCTGTTGGCATGTTGGAACCCATCCTCCAAATAGCACAATCCTCCATTTTGTCTACCACTACCAATCTTCTCCTTGGTATGGATGTCCTAAAAAACACAGTGAGTAGAAAAAATAGAGCAATACAATGATGAGATTTGGTTAATTGATTATCAGAGAGAAGATTACAATTTAATGATGGCACAAATAAGACATCTTTGATAGCTAAGGTGGGGGGTAAGGAGACTGTATCAACTCCAATAATTGAAGATGATACAACATTGGCATTGGCATTGATAATGGTAGTTTTGGAACATTTAGGGATAAGTAACTAAACCTATAACGATCGCAAGTCATATGGTCCATTGGACTAGAACCAATTATCCAATCACTGTTTTTAGTAAAAGACATACCTAACTTAACAGTAAATCTAGGAATTGTGGCTAGATTCCCCTCCGGATTAATGTCTTTCTCATTAGCACTAAAAGACACCTGAGACACTTTCTTGCCCTTTGAATGGCAATCCGGATATCCATGGATTTGAAAGCATGTATCCATCGGATGATCAGTACCATTATAGTGAGTACACTTCCGATCCTTCTTTGAGGTAGGAATTTTTCGAGAGGCCATTACAGACCCTTTTCCAATTTTTCCTTCAAGTATAGCATCTTGGCGATTAGCTTCCGCATAAACCATAGCATAAACAACTTGTAAATCTGGAAGTGGTTTGGTAGCAAGCACACGACCTCGAACCCCATCTAATTGTAGATCAAGACTAGCCAAAAACATATACACACATTGGGAATTAACCTTAGTGATATATTTCACAATATCATTGGTACACTCCATAGTACAGTCATCAATATCATCAAGTTCCTGCAATATTTTCTATAGTTTGCCAAAATAAGAAATAACAAAACCTCCGTTCTGGCAAACAGAAATTACTTCGTAGTGTATTTGATAGAATTTTGATGCATCCTGGTCGATCAAATATGTTTGTTTGGAAGCCTCCCATACTTCCTTCACCATAGCTAACCAAAGGAAGAGAGATCTAATGTCCTTTGTCATTGCATCAAGGAGCCAAGATATAACCAAGCAGTTTTCATCTTCCCATGCTTCATATTCCTCCGAATGAACATCTTTTGGTGCAACCTTAGTACTTGAAATAAAATCCCAACATTTCTTCCCATGGATCTTATTTTGAGCGTTCAAAGACATCTCAACATAATTGGTACCATCAAGTCGTTCCGGAGTGATTAGAGAAGAAGTTTCCTACATATAGAATCCAGTCGATATAGTAGTAGGTTCATTCTTCTTTAGGGAATCATTACTACTTTCTTCTAAATCACCCATAGCAGTAAAAATGAAAAAAAACTTCACAACGGAATGATATGAACAAAAACAATAATTGTGAACAAAGGACCAAGCTTCAATTCCTAGGGTAAAGAAGAGGAGATTGAAGGAGACTCTGATGCAATGTCAAGAAACAGAACTGTGGAATAATTTCTTGATATCTTCCATTCATTGTAATTCTACAATATATAGGCTAGATACAAGAACATTTACAAGGAAAGAATAAAAGAATTAATTACAGATTATAAAAAAAATCCTATAATTATGAAAGAAATAATATCCTATAATTAAAAATATTGAACATATCAATCTCTTAATTATAGGATATTCTAGCAGACATCACCTATTGAACCTGTTAACCCTGGACCTGACCAATTTGCCAGGTTTTGCTCTGGGTTGGTTTTTAAAACATTGGTTTTGGTCATTTTTTAATTTATTTATGAAACTGTTATGGAGAATTTGATTAAAAGTGCAGGGTTTCCAAAAACATAGACTTTCATAACTGTAACTGATTTTTTTTTCTCCTATATAAGTATAATCCATGTTATCTTTTGTTTGTGGAATTTACACAAGCACCAAATTTTAATAGATATTTAAGCAATTACTTATTATTATGTAAGAAGACGTAATAGATTTTAATATAAAATTAAAATGCAATACATCTTAATTATTGGCAATTCATTTAAAAAAAGAAAGAGAAAAACTCTAATCACTACTTGTGACCATCTCCCTACATATGTGCGATGGGATTAACAAGTAATGATAATACGCGATCTTTAGTCTCGCGATCTTGGATACCATGTCCATCCCCATGTTGGTACATGCATTGAGCCATCCGGGCGAGATTCATTGCAATTTCAATAAAAGTAGTGTTCGACAAGTGAGGATTTTCAAGCCGTTCTCTATTCATCTTCATCCATATTTCAGTAATCATTTCTTGTATGTGTTCACGAGCGTCTTCTTCAGATGCTCCAGTTTCATGCATGTAACATTGGATAGATTTTGCAACATCTCCTCTCTTCAACTCGTCCTAAATACGAGAAAAGTAGATTTTTTTTTTTTTAATTTATAATCAAGAAGAACTGAAAACTGTAACTAATAAATCAATTCAAGAGATTGTGGCATGTTACTTACGGATGATGTTCCCAAGTCGTCTGCAAGTCGTAATATTATTGCTGACCAACGAATTATATTGCTATATTCTTCCAAGGATTCTAAGGCCTCATTTGTTATTGGATTTGTAACGAAAAAATAAGCATGCACTAGAATTACAGGAGCAGATATAGAAATCCATGCATTGTCAATGTATTCTGCAAGGAAAGGGATGTATTCACTATGGTACCACTTTGCCTCCAATAAATAACATTTACATATATCTGCCCACTGAAACAATTTACAATGATTTTAATGAGTTAAAATAAAAAATATATAAATCTACAACATGAGCACTTTTATGTTAATATTCTATAAGAAAAAAAACTTTACCGCTTTCGTTAGGTAAGGAATAATGTTAACTCCTTGTTCTTTGAGAGCGTCAAAACCCATTTCGTTTATGGCATTATAAAGAGCAAGAAAACATATCTTCATGTATTGTGGAAGTTGCTCCATTGCTTTGATGTCCCATCTACGTTAGAATAGATGCAAATTTTATTATAAAAATTTAAAAAAAAAAATTTCCAGATACTTTGGAGTTAAAATATGTATCAAATCTACCAAATATATGGCCACGAACCTTTCAACAACATCTGTAAAGAGCTCAAGTTCATCCAAGGTACCATAGACGTCATAGACATCATCAATTGTTGTAATTAAAGCATTGACCTTTGTGGACATCCTCCTACAATATCCAAACTCAGGTTTGAATATCACCCCCACAGTCCATAAGAAATTCTCCATCAACCTGTCCCTTGCAAAACTTAATTTCTCTCCAAGACCCGTATTCTTCCACCACCTTGTATATATAATAACATATATGAGGACAAGAAACCTTTTAGCAAGATAAGAAGTTCCTACTTTTAGTATATTAAGCAAAGTTAGACTTTATGTGGTCTCAAATTAACTAGATTCTTACCTTGATGAATATTTTAGATCGTCTTGATGTGTTGCTTGTACCATGTTGTAATCCAGTTTCGCAAGCTCAAGCAAGATATTTTTCATGTCAGGTCTTGCCTCGTATACATCTATGAACCACCTGGCCTCCAATCTTAGCATCCTCCAATTCAGTGGAAGCTCCAATGCATGGCTCACTAGTGTGGCAAGATATTGATCTTTGTTATCCCTCACATATTCCTTAAGATATGAGGTTGTAAAACCTCTAACATCGTGGAAGATCACATTCTCTTCATCTTTCAAAAGAAATGCAGCTTCGTACAAAGATAAAATTCCTTTGCAATCTTTCACGAAGTTTCCCTTCTTATCCCTGAAATTATTGAAAATTTCTGGTAGAAGAGAGAAAGAAACAAAGAAATAGCCGATCAATTAATTTTTCCATGATGTTGAACTGAAAAAGAATCTGATAAGCAAAGTATCAATTAATACCGGGAAAAAAAAATAATATATATTAATATATATTATATCTATATATTATATATATATATATATATATATAAGCTCAAATGCATTTCCAAAGTATTAATTATACTGCCTGGAGATTTGACTATGATCGATTTCTTTTCAAACGTTTACTGTGTTACAGAAGAATATATGTACCTGTAGGTACATCATAACCATGTTGTCTTAAGAGTCTAAATTCAAGAGCTACGGCATATAAACTTTCTTGCTTTTGCTTATAATTGTCGATATTATTGTTGTATATCGCATTCAGAATTCTCCTTATTTCATTCTCAAAGTGATAAGATACTCCAAGTCTTTGCAAGTCATCAATGAGCTCCAATTGATGTACAGAATCCACCGCGGTATGCAGCATCAGCCTCACTTCTTTCTTCAGTTTTTCGACTCGTTTGGCAAAGGGTTCTCTCTGCAAAGTAAATGTTTCCGTCAGCTAATTAATTTTGAAAATTATGATTACAGATACATGCTTCTACAGCTACAAGTAATAATATTGACAATAGATTAATACCCTATAGTTACTCCCAAGTGATTGAACAAAGTCAAAGGGCCAGATGGACGGTTGGTAATTGGCTGATCGCCTAGTAATATTTTCATCAGACGTTCTGGTGGCAGCCATACATTGGAAAACTAATCTACCACTAGGAACAGCGAAGTTCCTGGATGAACCAAAGTCTACGAATCGGCTTGTAGGTGGCAATCTTTTGAAAGTGACTGAAGGCATTGAAGTGAGCTGATAAAGAGCCATTTAGGAAGATTTTTCAAGACAACTGTGCGGGATTTCTGACGAGATTAAGAAATTTGAGAAAATGATTCTAGTGTTGAGAGGAATGACTGCGACTATATGTATACACCATGGATAGAATGTCTGATTAATTTCTATATTTAAAACACCAGTTTTTAACGAATTAAAAATATTATAATTTTAACAGATTAAATCCCTGTCTCTTTCCTGGAAATATGACAAAAAAACATGTTGTGGACTACTTTGGAGCTTACATACGTGGATTCTAGCTCTTTTGTTTTACTCGTGAACTAGTTGTTTACCTTATGTTTCACATGTGTTCCCAGTTCCTCTATACTATCACGTGGTGAAATTCAATAGTATTTTCATGTTTTAATTGTTAAATTATAATCATTTGAAGCAAAAATATAAGGGAATTAGGAGGCATCTGTTTAGAATGTGGTGTCAAATTCAATCTAAATTAGCATTGCATCAGTATATAGGTTTTCTTAAAATGTTTCTGTGTAGAATTATTTTTCTTTAGGAATACAATTAGGAATTGAAAAATAATTGTATTAGGTATTAAAATAAAATTCATATTACGATATAAGTTTGAAGTCAGATTAGGAATAGTATCTCATGTATATTACTTGTAAAAAGGAGTTAAACCCTAAAGTGAGACAATTGAATAGAATAAAAAACAGAGCCACGATTAGATAGTGAGAGTCACCAAAGAGAGGTTTTAAGAGAGAGCTAATTTGTTAGGCCTATAATTTTTCTTCTTCTTATAGTGAAATTTCATAATGGCAAAGTGGGCATAACTCTCATACAGAGAATGAATTATTATAAATCTGCTGTTTGTGTGTGTGGTTTATTTATTTGTCATTTGTTCACTCTAATATAGATTCAGGATTTGCTAGCATTCGATTAAATTAAATCCCCACAACAGCTTCCACTAACAAACGACCAACAACAAACTACTGATCAATCTAGCAGCTTCCACTAACAAACAACCAACAACAAACTACTGATCAATCTAGCAGCTTCCACTAACAAACAACCAACAACAAACTACTGATCAATCTAGCAGCTTCCACTAACAAACAACCAACAACAAACTACTGATCAATCTAGCACATGGTGGAATTTTAATTTAGAAAACTATTGTAAGTTATTTGTCAACTCATGAACCTAGAGTGGTAAGTCTCAATCCTGGTATGATCACCTCACCTTGTCTTAGCACATTCATTCTGTTTAACTTCCAGTATGACCACCTCATGTTTAAGGTGATCACTTTCCTTTATATTGGTTATCTGCAGTATTGAGTGAGCCCCTCTGAGTTGGAATAATCACCTTGTGATCCAATTCCAACCAATTTGCAACAACAAAACACAACAAAATATGCCCTAAATTCAAGCTTAAATTCGGCCAAATACACAGAAGAGCAATGTCACACTTACTTGCAATTTTGGGTTAAGACAAGTAGAAAACACTTCAAGCATAAAGGAATTCTCCACCAACTTGAATTGATTCACCACCAAATCTCCTTGTCAAGACTTGGATAAAGAAATCACAACAAGAACATAAAGTTCTCTCAATGGTTAAACCAAATTTTTGATATTTCATAAAAACTAACTATTACAAGGAGAATAGTTGCCTTTATATAGGCAATTACAAGGTTAAAAGAGTAATCAACAAATACAATACAAGAAAATGAAAATAATAAATATTACACAAATAATTACAAGCCTTTCATTCAAAAACAAGGCCATACCTATTTAATGCAAAAGGGACATGATTCCCTAATTCTAGGATCCATATCTTTAACCACCCCATTAGTTGAAAAAAACTCACTTTATTAGCTCAAAGCTTGATCAATGATCCTAATCAAGTCTACTAATAAGGGTGTAAGAGTTTGGGCCTTGAAGATCTTGCAAATGGATCCAATAAGGGTTCATGTGAGCTCTCCCTTTTGGAATGAGACTTGGGCCGAATGGGTTCACTTCAACACTTGGGCTTCTCTCTTGGTGGGCTTGAGCTTCTTTTGTTGGACTTGGACTTGGAATGGTTTGGGCCGAAATGCTTGGGCTCTCTCCCCCCTTGGAACTTGCTTGGGCCGAATTTCCTCCATTGCTTTCCACATTCCACAATCCAAGTGTTTTAGGACTTGGAATGAAACTCTTTGATTCAACCGAATTATCAAGTGTTTTAGGACTTGTAATTCCTTGTCCACTCATGTTTACAAGTGTTTTAGGACTTGTAAACGTATCGTCCTCCCCAGGTTGAGAAGGATTTGCCCTCAAATCCAAATCATCCTCCAAGTATGGGCTTAGATCCCCCACATTGAAGGTGGCCGAGACTCCCCCATACTCACTAGGCAACTCCACTTTGTAAGCATTATCATTTACCCTCTCAACAATCTCAAAAGGTCCATCAGCCCTAGGAGCTAATTTACTCTTTCTCTTACTTGGAAACCTCTCCTTTCTCAAGTGAATCCAAACTAAATCCCCCGGGTGGAAAAGCTTAGGCTTTCTATGCTTGTTTGCCTTATTCTTGATCTTTTCATTTGATTTTTCTATTTGAGCTCTCATGGTTTCATGGAGTTTCTTCATTTGCTTCAACTTCTCATTAGCATTCACACTTGGCTCAAAATCAAGGGGCAGGGAAGTGAGATCAAAAGGGATAAGTGGGCTTACTCCATACAACACCTCAAAAGGAGTGTGACCCATAGTAGAACTAGGACTCCTATTGTAGGTAAATTCAGCATGTGCCAATTGCAAATCCCAATCTTTTAAATGCTTACTCACTAAACTCCTTAGGACATTACCCAACACCTTATTCACCACTTCGGTTTGACCATCAGTTTGAAGGTGGTGTGAGGTGCTAAACATTAATTTTGTCCCTAATCTACTTCATAAACTTCTCCAAAAATGACTCAAGAATTTTGTACCCCTATCTGAGACAATGGTCCTCGAAATGCCATGAAGTCTCACCACTTCTCTAAAGAACAATTCGGCAATTTTGGAGGCATCATGTGTGGTATGGCATGATATGAAATTGGCCATTTTTGAGAACCTATCAACCACTACCATGATGGAATCTTTTCCTCTTTGGGTCCTAGGCAATGCAACCACAAAATCCATGCTAAGGTCCTCCCAAGGGTGCTCGGCTATAGGTAAGGGTAGGTATGGTCCGGCCTAGGGCTGCAAAAATCCGGTTAACCGAACCGGATACATGCATTTTGTAACCGAACCGGTTTTTCGGTTCAAGCCATATGGCAAACCGAAACCGGTCTGGTTTTTGCATTAACTGGTTTGCAAACCGAATCGGATTTTCGGTTTGCAATCTGGTTACCCAGTTTGCAATCCGGTTAATCGGTTTGCAAACCGGTTTTATTAATAAATTTTTTTTTTGTCTTTTTTTTTTATTTATGATAAAAAAAATTCCTATTTTTGGATGACAATTTCAAGAAACCAAAAAACAAAAAGATCCATAACAATTTAACCAATTAATTACCAATTAATGCTACTGAATTCTTCTCATCCAAGCATCATGACTAATAATCACCAATTACATTATCATAAAATACAAACTGTTCCTTTAAATTTTAATGGTCAAGTACAAAAGTGATTAAGAAATAACAAGTGAAAGTTGTAAATAGGCATCTCCCCTCAACTTTAAGGCTCAAGCATTCTTCAATTGGCCAAGTGCAATCACGGAATCACCTACAAGAGGAATGAAATCAGCTTTAATATTTTCTAAATAAAGAGAATGCATTTTGTTTTCAGCAAATGTCACTGCAGAAAAATAAAATAAACACATGAAGAGAATGCATTTTGTGTCCAGTTGAGTTCAATTTGTCTTCTTGAACACGAGGTCCATGACATGATAAAAAAAAATAAGCAAAGAATTCAGATTGTGGTCAGTTTTGTTCCTGGACTTTGATTTTGATCCCTCTCTGTGATTAAACATATAGAAAAATGTGGTCATATCTGATTCTGAAATGACTTAACAGGGTTTCTCATTTGCTAGCATGTTTTATGATTTGTTAAAATTGATTATAGTGGCTCAGACTTTTCTTTTTATGCAGTTTCATAAGATTTCTTATAAATATTCTTAATATCTAACTTAATGCAAATATATGATCCTACTATCAATAACTGCAAGACAAATATAAATTATACATATTCTAAATTTACTATGTTGATGCGTGTTTTTGCACCAATGAAACGCATGTGTGAAAGACTGTGTGGATCCAGAAAACACACGTGAATGTACTGGATAAAAGAGATAGTAAATGCAATGGGGACAGTTTTTAAAGTGGTTCGGATGCTAAGGTAGCAAGTCCTACATCCATTGATGCTTATATAAATGATAAAGGTCAGGTCGCTTTTAGCTCACTGACTTTACAATAATGTTACAAGGTATCTAATGCTGAGAATTTTAGGAAAGAGAGAGTAATTAATCAAGCATAAAAATGCCAATCCCCTTTAATAAGAGAGAAGCTCCCATTTTATAGTGGGATGCCTTGAGGTAATGATCACTAAATCTGTAAGTTGGTGGGATTATCCGTGCAAATCCTTCTTTATGTCACATTGCCCACCTTCCAGAGTGATTTGCGCTATTTAGAGCAGTGATTGGACATGTGGGAGCACCACAGCTCTTGACTAGCCTGACGCGCACCCACTATCCTGACGGACGCATGTGGCGGTTGTTCCAATGATCTGACTTTCATGGGCTAGACGAACCTGACGTCAGCCCTTGTATTTTTTAGGCATAACAGAAGTCCCCTAGTTTTTAAGGTTTGAGGATTGAACCTTAGAAACTACAGGTCATGCCGCAGCAGGATGATTTCTGGAAATTTTAGTCTGTTTGAGAGTAGGTCGAAGTGGCGTTTTTATGAGCGCGACCTCGCATGCTCAAGGACGAGTGACCTGATTTCGTCTGACGTTACCTGTTTGTTCTGGTGATAGGAAGGCATTTAATGAAGCAATCTCTACGCTGACAGGTGTGTCCCTTGCATGGTAAATGCCAGCCAATCATATTTAATGCCTTGCATGCTGAAACAATGCGCTTTACCAAGACATTAAATGCATTATACATTGGAATGACGCGCCCTATCAGAGCATTAAATGAAGATTTGAGACGCAATTAATCCTCTGAGAGAGGCATGGCCTTCGTTTGAGTTTTTCAACTGGAAAGATAAAAGTTTGAATTTATCTAGTCGCTTCGTTCACCCTTCCTCGCTGATGAGTGACACGTGGCCAAGATCAACGATAAGAAGCCTTTATTTCCCAAACGTCGTTTCGATTCTGAGAAATCCAAACGCCGATTCATGTGCTATAAAAACCTCAAATCGTTCTCAGGCAATGTTACCAGAGCCCTTTTCACAGAGAACAAAACACTTTCGTAGGCCAGGAACCTTTGTCTTCCAAACCCGCATTTTTTCGGCATTTGAAGCAAAATCAGTCGTCATACTTTAAGAGGTAAGGGCTTTCCTGCCATTATTTCATTTCTTCCATGAGTTAATGGCGTTGGTCTTCCGGTAACCCATCGGAGACTAGACATTTGTGCCAGGTTCGAGCCACTAATGGCGGCTGAAATCATGCTGCTAGGGTTTTCTTTAGGATTTAGGGAGTTTATTTCCTCCCACGTCATCGTATGAAATAGCGTACGGAGGCTAAATAACCCTTCTGCTTTTCGCTTTTGCAGACTGGCAAAATAGACCCTTCAGCCACCAGATCCGAGCAGGGAACCAGCTCGTCCCCGTAGGGTGCTCCTAGCATCCCTCTCGAGGTTTTCTCGGTACTCACTGAGGAAGAACTCGAGAGGGTAATAGGCCAATATGGCATCAAGGTGGACGTTTTCCATGACCTGACGCATTCATCGCGATACCCAGCAAGTGGCCTGACTGCGATCTCTGAGGAGATTATCAAGGGTGGAGGACTTATTCCCCTACAACCTTTCATCAGGTCATTTTTAGACCACTTCGGGGTCGCGCCGATGCAGCTGACCCTGAACGCATACATCATTGCTGTGGCAATGTACATCGCGTGCCAGGAAAACGGGGTTGGGTGAGCTAACCGCCTTGGAGCTTGGCTGCTTATATTCTCTGAAAAAGAGCAAGAACAAGGATTCGTATTACTTGTCCAGGTGACCTACTATTGCCGACAGGATACACAGTTATCCCAACAATGCGGGGGCCTATGAAACGAAGGTTTTCTTCTTTCGTCACAATGGCCATTGCCGCTTCCAGGAACCGAGTAGCCCTCTTTCTCTTTGCTTGTATTTCTACTTTGCTTTGGCGAACTCATTGCGTTCGAAGCTTATTCGCTCTAACGACCTGGTTTTTTCTTTTTGATAGTTAACAAGACGACCGAAGTAGGGCTGCTCCACGATAGGAGAAGAATCGTGCACTTCGGCTCCCTTCCTGAGGACAAGCACGATGCGAAGAAACTTGTCACGACCGCGAATTTGCAGAAATACGGTTTCTTTAATGCAACCGCATCGTTAGAGCCTCCACCGAGTAAGTTTTGCTAATTGATTTTTTTCCTGGTCGTGGAATAGAATGCTTTCACTAACCTTGCCTTGCATGTAGCAGCCATGCCACCGAAGGAGCCAGAGCAGCCTCGACGAAGGCCTGTCAATTTTCCTCGATTGAAGAAAGCTAAGGAGGCCGAAGCTACTCGAACAGTCCCCCTGGTCGAGGGTGCAACCTCGGGCCAACCAGCACGACCTTCTAGAACCTCTCAACCGCAGCCGACAGAAAATGAACCAATACGAACCGCAAAGATCTCTCAGCCGTCGCCTACTCGCCCAAGGATGAAAACGATGGCTCAGCGAAAAAAGAGGAAGCAGATTCAGGCTGAGGAATCAGAGACTGAATCTAAAGGCGAGCAGCTAAGGAGGTCGCAGAAGAACATCGGGAGAAGGTCGGGAAAGGAACCGATGGTTGACACGACCACTACTGAAGGTGCAAAGACGGATACCCCAGTGTTGGACTCACTGGAGAACCTGTCAGAGTATCTGCAACCGGTGGTCTACACTTTACTGGAATGCGAACTCTCGAAATCATTCAAGCAGTTCACAAATTTTAGCGACGTCGACCTGAGTTCACGTCGATCCAGCACATAAGCAAGGTGAGCGAACCGTCCCCGACGAGGACTATCCTTAGCTTATTTTGATTGGCTAACTTTATCTTTCTTTGTTACCAGGCCCTTCTTTCCATGCGAATGTCTCTAGAGAAGGCTCAACTGGGAGCCACAAAGGGGGAAGTCACCCTGAAGGGAGAGAACGCGACGCTCAAGCGAAGCCTAGAGACCGCCGAAATGGAGAGAAACTTATCTTCCGAATTGGCAAACCGGTTCCAAAACAAAAGGGACGCGACTCTTCGCACAGTTGACTTCCAGAAGACACAGCTTGAGAAGCAGGGGGAAGAGATAAAGGAACTGCAAAGGACCATAGCCAGACTCTCCAAGTAGGCCGCGGAGAAGGACCAAGAACTAAAAGCGACCTCCTTATAGGTCGCACAGGCAGAGTAGGAGAGAGAGGCTTCTGAGAAGCTAAGGCAAGCTCTTGAAGTTGAACTTCAGGAAAGTCAAGGGAAAGTTGCCCCCTTGACAGAGGACATGCAGAAGCAGGCTGCCGAGGTCGAGGTCGAGGTCGAGGTCGAGAAGAGGGCTACTGAATGGGCGATCGAGTCTATCTACGCCCTGCGGCCGAGGAACCCACGACTCGACATGTCTGACCTCTCGGAGGACTGGCGTGAAACACTTGTGACAATGGCGCGAGAGGATGACAAAGCAGTGACCTTCCAAGCAGGTGGTTCGGGACATGCTTCGGCTATACCTTCAACCGACCAACCTTAGGACGTCAAGGTCACCTTTTTAGGAGTCAATTTAGGGTTCTCAGCCATATCTTTTTGCCTACTGTACTCCTTATTAATAAAATTCACATTTTTGACTTATGCAATTTCTGTTCATTTCATTATACATGAGTACTTTCTGATTGCTTACATTCATTGAGTCAAAGATGACATAACTCATTCGCATGAAAAGAATCACATACAAAGATTGTTACAAACGCCCAAGATAAAATTTTACAAAGAAATGACTTATAAAAATCAGAAATTAATTTACAACGAAAGTTGAGTTTGGAATTACTGATAGTATGGCTGAAGGTGCTCAGTATTCTAGGCTCGGGGTACCTTAGAACCGTTTAGCCTTTTGAGATGATAAGTCCCTGGTCTAATTACTTTATCAATGCGGTACAGACCTTCCCAGTTCGGTCCTAAAACTCCTGTACTTGGTTCCCTGGTTCCGAGAAAAACTTCCTTTAACACCAGGTCATGACCTGGAAGTCTCTTCACCTGACCTTTGAATCGAAGAATTTCTTCATGCGTTGCTGATAGGCTGCTATCCTTAGTGAAGCCTTGCTGCTATGTTCTGCAATAAGGTCTAGGCTTGCCCTTAGGAGTGCTTCGTTGTCGGCCTCATTGTACAACTCTCTCCGAAGTGAACCAGTTCCTACCTCAACAGAAACATTACTTCGTACCCGTATGCCAGCGAAAAGGGGGTTTCCGAGTTGGAGGTTCTTGGAGTTGTTCTGTACGCCCATAGGACTTCGAGGAGGTCATCGACCTAATTTCCCTTGGCTATGCCAAGTTTGGTCTTCAGAGTGTGCTTGATGGTTTTGTTGACAGCTTCAACTTGGCCATTTGCTTGCG